ATTGTGTGAGCATGGCGGATGTTTTGCATCTTTGCACGTAAGGAGTAGAGTGCTTCGTAAAGCAAATGTGTTAAATTTCAGCTTTCATATCTTTCGAGTAATGAGCAAAAATCCAAAAACTTTTGTTAAAAAAGAGGGAGTTGCGTTCAGTTTACGCTCCACTGCACATTTCCGCTATGATCGATTTGGCCCATTTTCAATATCAACCTGCGTGCAGACATTGCCAATGTTTCTAATGTGGCTATATCATTGCATTTAAACTTTTTCTAAACAAGACGGGATGTAATAACAACACATGGACCAATTAGCTTAGCCATGCAACACTTTCTACATCAGATATCTGTTAGTATTACAACTAAGCAATATTCTTTCTTTGTGTCACGAAGTTGTAACTCTAATAGCTAACGGGTAGAGTCTTCATACGACAAGTAAATCAGCGACTCCAAGTATGCTTTATCGGCTAGATCTGTTTGAACCAGCGAGCAATTTGGCTATCCTCTCGTGCATTCATCGGCTAGTTCTGTGTGACATTGCTATGTGTCCGCTGTCAGACCTGACATCTTCCCAGTGTTCTTACGAGTGGTTCTCATGCGATGACTAACAAGCAATGAGAAGATGGCATTGACTATCAGCCTCTGCTCCCTACACTTTAAATAGATTTCTCCCTATCGCCGAACGTTTCCCTATCGTATATCCCAAGCGAGGGAAAGGGATGTACTCGCTAGGTGAAAATATCTCCAAGGTCAATGAAATTAATGAGAGAAAGCAATCGGTTTTCTTTCTTTTGCATTTCTTAAAAGGAAAAAGTCTTTGAAAAACTGGCAATAGATTAAATATTTATATAGTATGTCCGGATAATAGCGAATATTTATTCAATTGTTTTTAATTTGCATTAATTAGTGATAATGTAATAAATTGTAAAACGCGGAATGAAAATTTATCATTACCTCACCAGGAATTATCGAATTCGCGCGAATACCGTAGTCCGGTTATATATAATAAAATGTTTAGAGGAAGGTTTGCTTTTACAATTTTAATTTTTTTCACCTTCTCCTTAGCCGTGAAAGCAAGTAAAGCTAATATGGATTATCTTGGTAAATATAACGATAAATTGTTTATTTATTTATTTTGTTTTGTTATGAAATTTCCTTTTTTCTCTAAGCTCGTCGATCTGAGTTATTGAAAATGGAAGACGGGCTTCGATTAGGTGCAGGTAATTAAACAAATGAAGTAAACTGAAGTGAACAATATATTCAAAGCTCTCAAAGATAAGCAATTATTAAATGGTTACATGAATCTCGAAAAGAATGTGCCAGGCATTCATTTCTATAAATGAAAATCACGAATGGAAACTGATGGTAGAGTTTTCAGGCTTTTATTACAATGCCCAAAGGTGCAGCATTAAATTTGCATACAATGAGCTCAGTATCATCAAAATGGGTTTAATAAACTGTGCTTCCAAAGATGGTAGTATAATATTAACATTCCGCAAGAAAACAAATATGGGTCGGAATACAAGAAGTTATTTGGATCGTTATTCAATTTGTATAGTCCTTTACTGAAGATACGCTTAGGTGCTTTTACTTTGAAATGTTTTTGATAAACACTAAGGGAAATTCGAGTAGTTTTACGGAAACTTGATTTTTTTCTTCCAGCAGTGATACCGTATCTCTAGCTCTAAGTCTAAGCAGTTTTTTAACGAAAATCTATCATTGCCGAGTGGACCATTTAGTTTAGGGGACAAAAAAACTAGACCATATTTCGCTTAGGGTAGATATGGTGATCAAGGATTACAATCTAAAAGTATATTTTGCAAACTTTGTAAGCTACACTCGTTAAGTTAAAATGAAGAATGCCTAAGGTCTACTCTTACTACAGTTAGGGCATTGAGACTACTTTGGAAAACGTCTGTAATCTTTGAAAGACTTACGAACACTAACTCAACTAGTGAATGAATAGATAACAAAAGAACTAAACATCATACATAAAAAAAATCATAAAATTGAAAAGTCTTCAATAAATTTTTGATTTATTTTAAATATTTGGTTACCTCTCATAAACAATTTGTAATAACTTACAGTATTTATGTCATGCGAGAAAAAAATTATTTCGTGCAACGAAATGCTGAATGGGCTCAAGCTATAAGTTCAAATGGCTACAGAAAAGCTCATATTAGGAAAAACTATGATTTTATTGAATAAAAAAAATAATATTTGAAACAAAATATTTTACAAATATTTTTTATAACAAATATTGCTAAAAAAATCTTCTATAAAAGCTTTACTTTTAACATTATTTTCACTTAGAGAGTTTTTCGAAGATGATTGCCATTTTCTCAATAATTTGTCTTAATCTTTTCACCGCTACCACAACAGCAAATTTACCGGTTGAGAATTCAAAATATTTTCGTAAGTAATTTTGCAAACAGTTTAACATATTTCGAATGAGATATTATTGTACATTATCAAGAGGTTCGTGAAGAGTTAATTCAAACAGAAGATCATCTTAGTACTGGTGGTGAGGTGCAATTGAATAGCAAAGAGATTGAAGTCGATAGGATTTTTATGAAATACAAAATTGAAGAATTAAAGGAGGGTTCTCATCATCCGTCTAAAAATGCCGCCGGTATGCATTTCTTCAAAGCGAAACCTTTAATCGAACGCAGTAAAGTGTTTCGTTTCCTGCAGCAAATGCCAAAGGGAGCGCTTTTGCATTTGCACAATACTGCTGGAGTATCTTCTGAATGGATAGTCCGTAATTTGTCTCAATTAACGGGTTTGTTACGATGCATAGACCAAAGAGGTATTAACATATTGACATTTCGCGAGAATCCGGAGAGGCATAAATGCACTACGCAGTATGTGGCAGTAAACGAGGAAAGACAAAAGTCCCGGTCACAAGCAGATTATAATCGCTCATTTGAAAATTTAATTAATTTATACACCAAAAGACCTGAACGTAATTTTGGAATATTTCTTAATAATTTGCAGAGTTCTTCGGCTAACTTAGATCATTTTATTTTACAGTAGAATATCCAACAATAAACCATGTTTGGGATAGATTTCAAAATATGTTTTCTACAGTAAAGGATTTTATACATTATTTACCCGCCTATAGAGTATATCTATGGCGATTGTTAAAGGAATCGTACGACGATAAAATAATTTATGTCGAATTACGTTTCACCACTTTTGAGGTTAGGAATATGTATAAAACATTCTGGAATTTTTAATGAAAATTTCTTTATTAGTTATACGATCGCTTGGGTCAGGTGTATGCTGATGAACATTTTTTAACTGTTATACTGGAAGTTGTAGGCAGCTTTAGAAGCCAATATCCTGATTTTCTGGGCGTTAAACTGATTTATGCCATAAATCGTCGCCTTGAGACTAACGAGGTACGCAATCGTGTTGAAATTTTGAAGAAATTCCAGTAAGTCTACGTTAAAAAAAAGAGAATATAATTGCTTCGTAACTATAATTTGTTTAAAATTTTTTACAGTTTAGCTTACCCAAATATTATGATAGGTTTTGATTTGGTAGGTCAAGAGGATAAAGGAAAGCCGTTAACAGATTTCATTGAAATTTTTAAAGAAGTGCCGGACACAATCAAATTTTTCTTTCATGCTGGAGAAACTAGTTAGTACTAAATATGTTGTTTACGCCGTTAAAAGTCGATTATTTAAATGTTGTATTTAACAGACTGGTACGGAACGTCCACGGATTTAAATTTGTTTGATGCCATACTGCTAAATACTACACGTATTGGTCATGGTTATGCGTTAATGAAACATCCCATTTTATGGAAAGCCGTTAAGGAGCGGAACATTGCCATTGAAGTGTGTCCGATATCGAATCAAGTTCTGCACTTAGTTTGGGATTTACGCAATCATCCTGGAGCATTTTATTTATCGCAAAATATACCTGTGGTTATATCTAGTGATGATCCAGGGTTTTGGGGTGCGAAAGGCTTAAGCTATGATTATTACTACGCTATAATGAGCTTAGCTTCGAATCAAAGTGGCTTAAGAACTTTGAAACAATTAGTGTGGAATTCGATAAGTTATTCTACGTTGAATAAAACCGAAAGGGCGTTAGCCAATGCCACCCTAAAAAGACAATGGGATCTTTTCCTGGATGGCATTCTAAATGAAAACCAGTAAGAGGCTAAAACAAAACAAGAAAATTAAGTTAAAAGTGCTACGGAAGCAACTTAAAAAAAGGACAAGGGCAGTGCAATTGGCTAACGCAACCCTAAAAATCGATGAAATCAAATATATATATATGTACGTAATTTTTGTGTAATACTATTACATATATTTGTATATATAAAGAGTTTACAAATTCATATTTCCTATAGTTTAGTATTTCTATAGTCAAGCAATAAAGTGAAG